GCATTCCTTCTGCGAGGACTGCATCACCCGGGCGCTGCAGGTGAAGACGGCCTGTCCCATGTGCGGGCGCTTCTACGGGCAACTGGTGGGCAACCAGCCCCCCAACGGGCGCATGCTGGTCACCCGGGACGCCGGCCTCCTCCTGCCCGGCTACGAGAAGTTCGGCACCATCATCATCCAGTACGTCTTCCCGCCCGGCGTCCAAGGGGTAAGATGGCGCCGGCACCTCCCACCCGAGGGCGTGGGTGGTCTCTGAGGGGCTGGGGGTGCTGCTGGCAACCGGGTGGCCCCAGCCATCGGGGTGCTCCTTGGATTGACACCCCTGGGTGCCCCCGAAACCTGATGGGTGCCCCCTGGCCCCCTTGGGCGTCTCCAAATCTTGCTGGGTGCTCCAACCCAGTTCTGCGTCCCTGGCACCCCTGGGTGACCCCAAAACCTGGTGGGTGTCCCTGTGCCAGCTCTGTGCCCTTGGTTACCCCCAAACCCTGCTGGGTGCCACTAGCACCCTTGGGTACCCCCAAATCCTGCTGGGTGCCCCCAACCCAGCTCTGTGCCCCTGGCACCCCCTTGGGTGCCCCCAGTCCAGCCCTGTATCCTTGGTACCCCTGGGCACCCCCAAAACCTGCAGGGTGTCACTGGCACCCCTGGGGGCCTCCAAAACCTGATGGGTGCCCCTGGCCCAACTCTGTGCCCCTGGCACCCCTGGGCACCCCCAAACCTTGCTGGGTGTCCCTGACCCTCGCCTTGGGCATCCCTGAATCCTTCTGGGTGCCCCTGACCCAGCACTGTGGCCCTGGCACCCCTGGGCACCCCCAAACCCTGCTGGGTGCCCCTGGCACCCCAAAGTACCCCCAAACCCTGCTGGGTGCCCCCAATCCAGCCCTGTGCTCCTGGCACCCCCCAACCTTCCTGGGTGGCCCCAGTCAAGCTCTGTGTCCCCAGCCCCCCCTTGGGCACCCCGAAACTCTGCTGGGTGTCACTGGCACCCCTGGGCACCCCAAAACCCTGCTGGGTGCCCCCAACCCAGCCCTGTACCCCAGGCTGGGTCCCTTGGGTATCCCCAAACCCTGCTGCGTGTCACTGGGACCCTTGGGTGCCCCTGGCACCCCTGGGTACCCCCCAAACCCTGCTGGGTGCCCCTGCCCCCCTTAGCAACCCCCACCCCATTACCCCCCACCCACCCAACTTCC